GAATCAATCAAATAGAAAGTTATTATCATAATCATTGGTGCAAGTAACATGCACTGAACTCCTACCGGGTATTAAGCACTGGGACAGGCCCAGGGTATACCTGATGGGCCGGGTCTGACTGCCATCACTGAGGAGGTGAAAGCCTAGTGAGAGAGGCAGATGATAAGAGAGTCACCAGGAGCATGACAGCTGGTTGCTGTGGGAGGACTGAGGAGAGTGACAGTGCCTGTCTGGGGCGGCTGAGGCAGGTATCAAGAAAATACGAAGTCTTTACATGCCCTCTATGATCTAGGTGGTCACCTGTGCCTGTCTACACTGGCTTCCTTGTTGGTTCTGGCAATTTCCTGTCCCTAGACCTTTGCACTGGCTTAGCCCTCTAACTTAAGGTTTCCTAGCCTTGTCACTGTTGATACTTTGGATTAGGGGCCTGTCCTGTGCATTGTGTGATGTATAGCAGCATCTCTGTCCTTTACTTACTGGATGCCAGCAGTAACACTTACTGCTCCCAAGTTGTGACAACCAGAAATGTCTCCAGACATGGTCAAATGTCCCCAGGGCCACTACTCTACCTGGAATGTTCTCCTAGATACCTGCATGGCTCCTTCAGGAATTTCCTAAAAATGTCATTTTCTCAGTGAGGCCCATATTGACTACCCTATTTAAAACTTCAGAACCACCTACCATTCCCCCTTGAATTATACTACTTACTCTCTTTTAATTTTCCACTCATAGACCTTAGCATCTTCTAACATACCATGTGATGTACCTATTTACAGCTCTCATTGGCTCTCTTCTTATTGGAAGATGAGCTCCACGCAAGCAGAGCTGCCTGTTTTGTTCACTGCTGTATTTGTAGCCTGGCAGATGGTAAAGCACTTAGCACATATTTGGTGAATGATCGAATGAGTCAACATCTTTGTGAAACTGTAACATTTACCAGTACAACCACATATATTATCTCATTTAACCCTCAAATAATATTAATTAGGTCACAGTGCTATTTTCATTATACAGTTAAGGAAACTCAGTGACATTAAAGATAAGTCACATGCCAGGAAATGATGATGCCAAAAAATAAGTATGATAATTAAGTATTCTTAAATACAGCCTTCTATGCCAACTTTCCCAGGATCTGAATAGACAAGCAGAGATTTGCTGAGCAATTTGGGGGAGTAGAGAGACAGAACAAAGAAGGAAGACCCTCTTGGCCATAATGAAATAGTCTCTGCCTCAGGTTCATGACCAACAGAGACAAAAGAGGATTTTCCCACCCTAGAACAAGGTATGGTGTTTACTGCAATAAGGACTTTTATCCCAGTCCACTTGCTGTGACTCTGTTATTCTCTGTGTTGCCTAAACTAGGGCACATGCACCCTCAGGAGGTAGAAAAGCATAACAATAATAAAGTATAAAGAACAAGTATTCAAAAGTATGAGAATAGAAAGAAAGAAAGCCCCAGAATAATCACTGAACATTATAAGAGAGTCACATTACTCAGTATGGAAAGGTGACAAATGCTCTAAAATACTAGCTACATATTGAAAACAAATTCAGATACATTGTTCCTTGATTCATTCATTAATTACTTTCTGAGTGTTGACCCATGCACTCAGTCTGTGAGCACACTGGACAAAACCTCTACCCTTGTGGAGTTTGCACTCTACTAGTAGAGACAAACAAAACTAGTAGAGATAGGAAATTCAAAGCAATTTTTTAAAATAACACAGGAAATGCCATAGACATTTCAGGCTGGGGAGCAGTAGGCAGTACTCGGGCTATTTGCCTTAATAAAGCCCCTGTGGGCTGCACTTATCTGCCCCTGGTAGGAAGGGCATTTGGGAGAAAAATACTGAGATATATAGGGCAGTTCTTAATGTCAGGACCTAGCCCTAGAGGCAGGAATTGGGTTGCTGGGTGCCGGGAGAATGTCCTTCACACTTCTGCCTTAGAGCCGCATTTTCTGTGCTATAGGTCACAGGAACATGCGTCCACAGCACTAATGGATACAGGACAGGTAATAGGTATCCAAGGATGAAAGAGAGTCACCATGAGTCAGAAAGGTTAGGAAACACAGAGTACTCTATTTTCCTTTGTAGATGCAGAATACTCATCAGTCTAGCACATGTTCTAAAAGTACTTAAGAAACAAGTCTGTTTATTCTCTAGCCATTTGTTTTATTTGTTTACTTGGAAAGAGCCCTGTTTTTGTTTCGTTTGGTTTTGCTTTTGGTCTTCTTATTGACAAACTGGTCCTCACTGAATATGAGGTATTAGTGTTAGATGTGCCATTACCTTATTTGCCACTAGGAAAAAAAAAAAACAACTCTGCCAATAATAATTGTAATGTATTGTGAGACACATTCTGATTTGAAACACATTCTGATTTGACAGGTGTTAACATATGAAAAAAATGTGAACCTTAGAATTGTTGGATGGAATCAGATTTGGTTCTTACATAGGTCAAACTGTGGGGGCTTTTTTCTCCGAGCTAGGCTATGTTGTGATGTTCACTCGTTACTTTCTTTTAATCATCATGAAATTACAGGATGCTGAGGTGTGGCACAGATAACCCACTGATCAGCAGAAATGTGTGTTTCCTTTTCACAGTGCAGAACAGAATCAGTGCTGTGGAGCAGAGACCATCAGTGACTGTGTGTGTGGCGGGGTGTGTAGGGGGCAGACCAAGAGGCGTGACGCCTAGGCAGCACACAGCCTCAGAATACTATAGATGTGGAATGAGATCGTTTTATTTGCGTTTTAGGAAGATTGCTTTGGTTTTGGGATAAAGGGTGGATTGGAAGCTTTGAGACTTTGGAAGAACTGAGTCTGGACCCTGGGGGGGGATGTTGAACAGTGCACTGCAGTAACCTAGTTCAAGGGATGTGTTCAGTGGGCACTGCAAATAGAAATGAAGACTGACATTTTAGAATATTTTGTGGCTAAAGCCTCTAGGACTTGGTAAAAGGTTTTGTTTTAAAATGTTGATTTTTATTATTACTCAGGTATTGTGAGACCAAAAGATCAGAAGACAATTGCCTTTGAAAAGGTAGTTTGCTACTCACAGTTCCCAAGAGCAGGGGGCACAGGTCACGCTGCAGGGCCACTTGGGGAAGCACCGGGGTCTTTCGGGTGGCAGAAGGAGCCAGGAGAAGGCATGGACGGGGCCCTTATTGTGGCTTCTGGGGGAAAGGAAAGAAAAGGCAGGGTTAACAAGCTTAAGATTTGCTAGTGTGAATAATTTCAGCAGTCTCTGGAGTGTAGGGGCTTTCTCTAGTTGTCTGGTACCTGGCCTTGTGATGATTAGGACAGAAGAGGATAAAAGCCAGTTAGAAGAGGTGGTGCAGAGTACACCTGGCTTGGTTAGTTTGCATATGAAAGGTGTGCTCCAGGCAAATCATTTGCTATCTCTAAGAACTGGTTTGCCCTGGGAGGGGCAGTCTAGTTCCCATCAGTAAAGCCCCCAATGCCAGAGCATCAAAGAATACAGAAAATAAGAAAATACAGTTAATACACATTTGATGAGAGAAATGAGGAACTCAAAGATACTTCCATCTTAGATGACTATGGAAGTGAAATGCTGTTAACTTTCAAGGGAACTAAACTTTACTGAGCCCCTCTTGTGTGCCAGGCACTGCTTTAAGACCTTTCCAGAGTCTCAATTAATCCTCAAAGCAAAGTTTTGACAGGGGGACTATTTTTAGCTTAATTTTACAGCAGTGTTGAAGAAGTCTGCAAGAGTTTGTTCTCGGTCCCCTATGACACGCTCCCTCACAGCTTGTTTGAGACGTGTTGGATTTGAGGTGCCTGGAGGATATTTTGGTAGAACTATTTAGGACACGATACCGGTAAAATCCCCATTTTAAACTATATTCTTATTTAACAGACATTTATGTTGCACTTTCTATACTCTAGACACTGTCCTGAAATCTTTACAGATTCCATCTTATTTAATCCTAAAACAATACTTTGAGCTATCTATTATTATCTTCATTTTATTCATATTTTAATCATCTTAATAGCTACCAATTTATGGAATATCCTGATGAACCATTCACTGGACTAGGCATTTTATGGAAACTAACTTAATTCAATCATTCAAGACAAATGTGATTAGCATCATTTTAAACGCCATAAAACTAGGCTTAGTGGCTTGCATCATTTGACTACTATCACGTCTTTATTTTCAAGAATTTCATAAATATGAGCTTCTGTTGCAACTAAAACTATTATCGCATTTTACAGACCAGAAGTTAAGTCTCACTAGCTTAAGTGACTTGACTAATACTACAAGGCCTTAAATCACCCAGCTTGGATTTGAATTTCAGTATATTTGATTTTTCATCCCAATCTTTTCCCAGTATTCCTGTACTTTTCAAACTGTGTTTCACTGGAGCTTTATTTTCAATGTTTCATAAATGTGGGTTTCTTCACAAGATTTCATAAAATTGGACAGTGTTACGGGCTGAATTGTATCCCCTGCCAAAATTCAGATGTCAGAGTGTTTACCCCAGGACCTCAGGATGTGACTGTATTTTGCAGTTGGGTCTTTAAAAAGGTAGCTGAGGTAAAATGAGGTCATGAGGTCAGATGGGTGGGCCCTAATCCAGTATGACTGGTGTTCTTATAAGAAGAGGAAATTATGACACAGACACACACAGAGGAAAGACGGGGAGACAGCAGCCATCTACAAGCCAAGGAGAGAGCCTGAACAGAAATCAACTTGGCTGACACCATGATCTCAGGCTTCTAGCCTCCGGGCCTTCATGAGGAAATAACTGTCTGTTGTTCTGGTGTTCTGTTATGGCACCCGAGGAAACTAACGCAGTCAGTTTGTACTACAAACACAAAAGTGTAATGCCACTGTCCTAGGTAGTTAGTCACACAGATTATTTGACCAGTCTGATTGCTTTCCTAAACTCACCAACCCGGAGGTCAGATGACTGCCTGGGATAAAAGCCAGCTTCCTCTTACTGTTACTTAAGCCACTGGTCTGCAGGCATTTTTTTCTTCTTCTAACTTCCCCTGCGGTGGCAGAGGAGATAAATATTAGCGAAACAAAAGTCCAGAATGTTAAGGTTGCCACTCTCACTTCCTCTCTCCCATTAACCCAGTACTACTTTGAATAGGGTAAGTGCCCTGGGGCACCGAGCTGGGGAGAGAAGACAACAGTGCCTTGGAGGCTGCCCTGACGGCAGAACGCAGAGGGCCATGCTTTCACAGGGCCACTCCTGGTCACAGAAAATGCCAGGATGATGCCTCACACTCACCTAGCTGCGGCTCTGATGACAGCCATGGCCTTTCTCTCCTGCCTGAGATCCGAGAGCTGGGAACCCTGTGTGCAGGTATGTGGTGGGAGTCAGCTCAGCTTCTCTGAGCTTTGCTTTGCTTTTGAAAAACTGCTCTCTGCCCAGAGTTTCCCACAGTGGGCCCTGGTTAGTTTCATTAGCAAAAAGAAGTCGGATTACCTTAAAGATTTGAGAAACCACAGGGACCAAATAATTCACGGTTACAGGGCACTAACGGGCAGCCCCTGGGGCCATGTCCCGTTTAGAATTTAAAGTGCTACTAGCAGTTTAATAGGGACTTTGCGTCAGATAAACCTGCTTAAAATCACTGTTCTACTTCTGGGCTGTGTGACCTTGAATAAGTTAATAACCCTCTCTAACACTAGTTTTTGCATTGATAAAAGAATTATAGACTTCGATAGAAAGTTGCAAGAAGCCAGCTCCCTGTCATTCCTTTCCACTGGTGGTTTGTACACTTTGCTTCAAGCCCTTGCTTTGTCTCTTTCAGTCTCAGGAAGATGTTATTTTGTCTCTTAATAGAAGAAACTTTCTAAGGGGATTTCAGATTTCTGAATCTAGTCATAGTTCTGTCCAAGGGATGAAAAGAAAACAAGTTGGAAAAAAAAAGAGAGGGAGAGAGAGACAGAGAAATAGAAAACAGGATAGAACAATAAAGAGAGAAGAAAGAAAAAAAGAGAGAGCAAGATGTAAACTATCAGGTGTGCCATACTTGCTTGCTTTGTGAAACACCAACCAGCGGGCTCATGACCTCATTCCTAATAGGTCTCTTGGTTTTTCCCTGTGTGGACTTCACAGTTGCTTTGGAAGCCCACAGAAGAACCAAACAGCAACAAGAATGTCCCGGGATTTAGGATGTGGCAGGGTCAGAAACTCAAGAAAAGCCTAACTAGCCAGAGTCCTGACATTGTGGATGGGGATATAGGGTACTTGAATAGATAACAAAGACAAACTTGTTATCTCCAAGTCCTCTGCTCTCCCAGCTCCCTGCCCACACCCTGCTCATAGCACTTAGCATAAAATGCCTTCACAGTTGGGACTTGGATAAACCTCCACTTAATCAGTTATCCTTTATTTTATTCAACAAATACTTATTGAGCATTAACCATTTTCCAGGCACCATTCTGAGTGTTGGAGACACAGTAGAGAGTAAGACTCAGAGCTTACAATCTAGAAAGGAAAACAGACAGTACATATGGAACAACCACACAGAGGACATGTAAGATAGTGATATATCCTGTGAAGGAGGATGAAGGAGGGTGAGGGAAGAGTGGTTGGCACCATCCCTTATTAGAAAGGATGGTCTGTGAGGAACGTATGAGGATCAGCATTGCAGGAGACATGGGGATGAACCAAAAGCTGCACTGTGAGGCCTTACACATATGATTTCATATCTCTGAATTCTTCTTTAAAAGGTTTATCTGAAGATTAAAGTATGGAACATATAAGAAATGAGCCTGCATATAGTGGGGAATTATTAACAGCGCATAATAATACATGTTAACCTTTATTGATCATTTATGCTGCAATAAGCTTTAGGATAATCTCTTTAAATGCCTTATCTCGCTAATCCTTTTAACAGATGCTATTGGTTTTCAACTGAAAACCAAAATTAGCTGGCTTAAGCAAGGATTTTTGTTGAAGAAATCAGAGAATTAGGAAATTAAATGGGAGGTCAGAGAACAGGACTTAACAAAGAATTTGGGGAACTATGACAGGAACGACCCCAGGAACCACAGCAGCTTCAAGCACTTGACCTTATTTACTAGGTTCCTTGACTGGCGTCCTTGCACTTGAAAGATTTGTCCCCATTTCTGTCTCATCTGCTCAAAGGTCAACGCTCCAAGGGAGAGAATACAATCAGCAAAAATTGGGCTACGACTGAGGGAGGTCCGGATGCCCGACTGGCAGTCTCCACAAGCTTGTACACAGTGAAGGGTGTATTCAGAAAAACAACAAAATCCCTCACCTCCAATCACAGGGAAGAGCAAGGGTGACACCCAGAGCTTTCTAGACTCTAAAGCCTCAGTTCTTCACCACCTGACTCCATCGCTTCTTGCTAAATGCTGCCCTTGTGATAGCAGAGGTTAAACATTGGGTACATAGTAGGAGCTCTTCCCTTCCTATCTACAGAAAGACATTTCATAAGAAAGAAGTGAGTGGATGGATGTGTGGATGGATGAATGGATGACTGGATGGACGGATGAATGAAGAAAGGTTGACTGGCCCATGTGCTTGTACCAGTGGCCTCCCAGGCTCTGGCCTAGGAGAGGGCACTGCAGGGCAGTGTGTTAAGGTTCATGCAGGAAGACACTGCATCTAATGTCTGATCATTTCAGGTGGTTCCTAACATTAGTTACCAATGCATGGAGCTGAATCTCTACAAAGTCCCTGACAACATCCCCACATCGACCAAGATACTGGACCTCAGCTTTAACTACCTGAATCATTTAGGCAGCCATAGCTTCTCCAGCTTCCCAGAACTGCAGGTGCTGGATTTATCCAGGTAATGCACGAGCTTTCACCACTGCACAAGGTGAAATGTTCACTGTTCTTTGATCTCATGCTCACATTGGGGTTTCATTTTCATTCACCTATTCACTCATTCAACAGATGTCTCACTTGCTATATAACTTTGGGCAAGCCACTTGAAACTAGCAGTTAAATGAGACAGTTTCTGAGGACAACTCTATCTTTGGTTTTCTTTTACTTCAGGGAAGTAAATGGACTCTTTCATCAGCAGATATTTTTTGGCCACTTGCTGTGTGCTGTACACTCTGCTAGGAAACAAGAGTATGTAGATACAGAACATACAACCCCAGCTATTATGGAGGGCCTATCCACTTGAAAGAATTAATGGGTTAAAATCCTGAGCATGGTGCTGGGCACACAGTAGAAATTCAAGAATGTTACTTGATTCTGATTTTGGATTTTGAACCTCATGAGGTAAGGATAGTAATATATAATAGTCGTTGTTAAGCTATTTGCAAACTAGAGGCAATACATTATGTTATTCAGAAGAGGGACCTTTTATGCAGTGAATAATCAAGACAGATTTCATGAACTGAGTGGGAATCATATAATACCAAGAATACTGAAAGTGGGTTAGAGGATGGGAAATTAGGAAGATAGAAGTGACCCGAAGAGAAAGATGACAATATCAGAGGAAAGCATTTGCTGTGAGAAAGAACAGTGGCTAATATTTTCTTTTCTGACACAGAGAAATATATTATTTATTAGGACAGGTAAAGTTATTATCATCATTTTAAGCGGAATTGAATCCTAAAATTATTTTCATCATCAGGGGCCCTATTTAGAAATGTACTAGATAATGGATGACAACCTCTATAAGAGTTTGTGAAAAATGGAGAAGCTTCGTACTCATGACATTTTATCATAGAAACTCTTAATAAGGGCTAAGAGGATAGTAGGTATTTCTGTAGAAGAGTGAGCATTTGGTATTTTATGCTATATCTTGGGTATTGATAGAGTTTAACATAGGGGGAATAGAGCATTTTAAAGGCAGTGGCACAGAACCCTATGGAGGTCAAAAGACTTGAGCCAGGTCTTCCTCTAACACTTACTGCCATGTGACCTAAAGCATGTCACTTCATCTTCCTGAGTCTCCGTTTTCATATCTATAAAACAGAAATTGTGAACCTTACCCCACAGGGTTACTGATGTTGAACACTAACATGCTATATATATTAAAAACCTTATAAAGTAGACTTTATATAAAAATACTATTATAACATTTCATTAGTTTCTAAATTTCAGTTTTCTGAGTAAGAGTTTTGTCATGAGCTATACTGGATTGAGGTAGACAGATCAGCACCCCCCACCATTTTTTTTTTTTAACAAGATGTGGCTTCTCATCAAACAATGTCCCTTATTATTCATTTTTGATCTACCACATACTCAGGGAACTACCCTCAGAGGCTTCAAACATGTGCTCAGAGAGAGGCCAGCTTCCCCTCTGGTTAGCCAGGAGGAATTTCTGGATTAGGGCAAGGAAAGATACCAGTGCGATAGACAAACTCTACCTTTGCATGTTGCTTCATTGTGTTCACGTACAGTAAAAACATTTGTCCTCTAAGGATGCTTTTTGATAGACCAGGCAGCCTTTTTCTTTTCCCTATGGAAATCTATTGATATATATTTTTTTCTTTTTGTAGATGAGGAAACAGGTGTGGAGAGTTTAAGGGATTCATACACATTCATATGACTTGCTGACAGCAGACTGGAGATGCATGTTCACATCTCCTGCTTCCAAGTTAAATGTTCTTTTCATCTTAATACTCTGCTTCTCTAAAGATGTTCCCCCTTATGTGGACAAGTTTTCATAAACATTAAGGATATCTGTGACACTTAGGTATAATTTTTTTATATCTTTGAAATTGACATTCACCAGTCATTTCTAGCAACTAACAACTATCAGTATCATCTGTACCAATTGGATATACAATCACAATTGTGTGTGGCAGAGAATGGCTAAAGTTGATCCAAGGTAGTTACGTACTCTCTCAGCCATTTGGCCTTCATGTGCCCTAATTATTGATCTTTAACTGACTTCCCTCTGATGGATGGGCTGCCTTTGCTTAGCATGTGTGCCTAGTGTGATAAAAAGAGATTATCACGGTGGCCAGTGGAATACGAAATCTGTGGGGCTTCTTTACTTCATCTGCCTTGCCTGATATTTTTGCCTATGCACAATCACATGGCATGACCCATCTGTGTGAAGACCTAGATGACTGGTTGGCATTTCATTTGGGGTTTTTATTCAGCATAAATATTATGTAATCTGTATCTCTTTTTCCTGTAGATGTGAAATTCAGATGATTGACGATAATGCGTATCAGGGGCTAAACCACCTTGCCACCTTGATATTGACGGGAAACCCTATCCAGAGTTTAGCCCTGAGAGCCTTTTCTGGAATACCGAGTTTACAGAAGCTGGTTGCTGTGGAGACAAACCTAGCATCTCTAGAGGACTTCCCCATTGGACATCTCAAAACTTTGAAGGAGCTTAATGTGGCTCACAATCTTATACATTCCTTTAAGCTACCTAAATATTTCTCTAACCTGCCTAACCTGGAGTATTTGGATCTTTCTAATAACAAAATCCAAAATATTTATCATGGAGACTTGCAGGTTCTACATCAAATGCCCCTACTCAACCTCTCTTTGGACTTGTCCCTGAACCCTTTAGACTTCATCGAACCAGGTGCCTTTAAAGAAATTAAGCTCAATAAACTGACTATGAGAAGTAATTTTAATAGTATAGATACAATGAAAACTTGTATTCAAGGTCTGGCTGGTTTAAAAATCAATAGGTTGGTTTTGGGAGAATTTAAAAATGAAAGGAACTTGGAAAGTTTTGACAAATCTGTCATGGAAGGACTGTGCAATTTGACCATTGAACAATTCCGGATAGCAAACATCAGAGAATTCCCAGAGGATGTTACTGACTCATTTAACTGCTTGGCAAATGCTTCTATGATTTCTCTGTTGAGTCTGTATTTAGAAAATCTAGAAGCCATTCCTGAAGATTTCAGATGGCAACACTTAGAATTAGTTAACTGTAAATTTGAACGATTTCCCACACTGAAGCTCAACTCTCTCAAAAAGTTTGTTTTCATACACAACACAGGCATGAGCACTTTTGTTAAAACTGAGCTACCGAACCTTCAGTTTCTAGCTCTCAAGGGAAATGATTTGAGTTTCAAGGGTTGCTGTTCTCACACTGATTTCGGGACAACCAAACTGAAGTATTTAGATCTGAGCTTCAATGATATCATTACCATGAATTCAAACTTCATGGGCTTAGAGCAACTAGAACATCTGGATCTCCAGCATTCCACTTTGAAACAGGCCAATGATTTTTCTATCTTCCTATCACTCAGAAACCTTCATTACCTTGATATTTCTTATACCCAGACCCGAATTGTCTTCCATGGCATCTTTCATGGCCTGGTCAGTCTCCAAACCTTAAAAATGGCTGGCAATTCTTTTCAGAACAACTTGCTGCCTGATATTTTCACAGAGGTGACTAACTTAACCATCTTGGACCTCTCTAAGTGCCAACTGGAACAGCTATCCCAGCGGGCATTTGACCCCCTCACTAAACTGCAGGTGCTAAATATGAGTCACAACAAACTCTTGTCATTGGATATACTTCCTTATGAACCTCTCCGCTCCCTCCAGATTCTAGACTGCAGTTTCAATCGTATTGTGGCCTCCAAGGAGAAAGAACTACAGCATTTGCCAAGGAGCCTCGCTTTTTTAAACCTTACTCAGAATGACTTTGCTTGTGTTTGTGAACACCAGCATTTCCTGCAGTGGCTCAAGGACCAGAGGCAGCTCCTGGTAGAAGCTGAACAAATGGTGTGTACACAACCTTTAGACATGCAGGATATGCCCGTGCTGAGTTTCAGGAATGCCACCTGTCAGATAAGCAAGATGACCATTAGTGTGTCGGTCCTCACTGTACTTCTGGTATCTGTGGCAGGAGTCCTGGTCTACAAGTTCTATTTCCACCTGATGCTTCTTGCTGGCTGCAAAAAGTATGGCAAAGGTGAAAACATCTATGATGCCTTTGTTATCTACTCCAGCCAGGACGAAGACTGGGTGAGGAATGAACTTGTAAAAAACTTGGAGGAGGGGGTGCCGCCCTTTCAGCTCTGCCTTCACTACAGAGACTTTATTCCTGGTGTGGCCATTGCTGCCAACATCATCCAGGAAGGTTTCCACAAAAGCCGGAAGGTTATTGTGGTGGTGTCCCAGCACTTCATCCAGAGCCGCTGGTGTATCTTTGAGTATGAGATTGCCCAGACCTGGCAGTTTCTGAGCAGTCGTGCCGGCATCATCTTCATCGTCCTGCAGAAGTTGGAGAAGTCCCTGCTGCGGCAGCAGGTGGAGCTGTATCGTCTTCTCAGCAGGAACACCTACCTGGAGTGGGAGGACACTGTCCTGGGGCGGCACATCTTCTGGAGACGGCTCAGAAAAGCCTTGCTGGAGGGTAAGGCATGGAGTCCAGAAGGAACAGCGGATGCAGAGAGCAGCCAGCATGAAGCGACAACCTCTGCCTGAGGAGGAGAAACTCCTTAAGTGCTTCTTGCCCAGCTAGACCCAGAGCTTGTTCAGCTAACAAGTATTAAATGCTGCAACATAGCAGGCCTTGTGCTAAGGGCCAGTGGTTCAGTGTGCACAAGATATACAGGACTGCTAATTCCATGGAGTTTACAATGTAGAGGGAGTAAACACTGTACTGAAATAAAGAACTTCCAGGAGGCTGTTGAAACCAATCCAACTAAGTGGTCCAGGACAGGGAAAGTCAACTCAACTCTTACCCAACAACACCGAATTAGAACTCAGTGAGATCAGAACAGGACAGAGTTCTCCAAAGTCTTTTGAGCAGAAACCACCTCATGTTATAGGTTTCAGCCTTGTTAAAAGACAATTGTTTTTGTAGTTTCAACTGAACTGGGTCTTTGCTTGCTTTTCCCTTTTCTATTGAACACAGTGTAAATTCTACTTGCTGACTCAGAAGGTTCCTGATTCAGATACCCCCTCCACTTTAAGTCAGTTCACAAATGTCCCAGTCATTCCTTAGCATGTTCTATTTATTAACTAATAGTCCCTGATATATTTTTGCTTTTAAAAATCCAGTTCTCATTTTTCATGTCTTCTCTATAAATCCGTATCACAAATAAGGCTGTTAGAGACATGCTGGAAATACCCATATTTAACCACTATCTTTTGAGCAAATACGTAAAATACACTGTCACTTTGTCACTTGATGTCATTCTGAAGTTAATACCTACTAAGTTATGACTGTCATGAAGGTAGCATTAAAATAATTTGGTTGAAAGTGGCACTTAGAGGGAGACAAGTCCAACTTCCTGGTCTCATAATGAGCAATTTGGCCTAGAGGTGGGGCAAGAGGTGGGATGCCCTCAGGAGGTCAGCTCTTCTGGATGACGCCAGGAACACGTGGGCTGATACAGCTGCGGTGACCACACGATGAGAGTTGCAGCAAAGGTTTCTTCTGCAGCAAATGAATTTTGTTGGGTGGACCATCAAATCCTTCAGGGGACTGTGAAATGGTTTCAGGTAGGGAGCACACATTGTTCCCTCCTGTTGGGCGTCACTCCATGACCACATTTAGGAAAGAGCAAATGTTATCATTGTAAAAATAATATCCCTGAGGTTACTTTGGGCCATGTTAAGGGGGATTCTTAGAAAAGCACACTTACCCAGCTTCCCCAGAATCATGCATGCAAAGAAAGAGCAATGAGGACATTTGGAAAATACAGCTGTCAAAAACTGGAACTACGGCCACACTCAGGAGTGTGCTTGTGACTGAGTGTTCCAGAGTGTTTTGATTGGAGCGTAGCTGGAGTTGCTGAGCATGCCCAGGTGTGTTTGTAGGTCTTACATGGTAGAGAAAGGGGATGCATGTATGTGTGCATGTGCCTCTGTGTGTTCCTATTCATGTTTGTGTGATCCTGGCTGCACAGAAGAACATGTGATTATATTACAAGGGGAATATGTGCATGTGATGTAAAGATATCCAGCTGTTTGGGACAGGTCCTCACTCTTGTGTTTGTATGTGATTGCTTATATACAAATGTCTACACTGAATTCCAAGTATACTTGAAGGCATGTGTTTTTGTGTGAGTGTGTTTGTGTTCATATTTAAGTATGCATTCTGCACCTGTGCGTTAGTTAGTGCAAGCAAATATACAAGACTCCAAGGGGGAACATCAAAATACAACCAGAATATTTCCTGTTCCCAGGTATGCAAGGCTGTCACCAGTCTACTTCCCATCAGTCCCCTCTCCTAGCTGGGAATTCTACAGGTGAGGTGGACAAGAAAGGAAAGAAATGATATGGCAGAAACATAAGGGGGAGAAGAGGACAGTTAGGCCTGGGACAGGTTCTCTGCAGCTATTTAAAGTCTCCGGATTTAAAGAGAGATGAAGTGTGGAATAAAGAGATATGAAAAATTAATAGTAATTAGAATGCCTTAAGTTTGTGTAATACCCTACAACTTGGAACATATTCACACAATTATAAACACATTTGAATCTCTCATTTTCCAGGTAGGGTAGCAGATTAAGAATTAGTTTCACTATTTTACTGGCATAAAACCTGAAGTTCAAGGAAGTAAATTTATTAGGCCACAGAATAAAGTGGCAGGGCCTGAACTCAAGTCTCCAGTGTATACTGGGCATCTCACTTTCCACTGCACCCCGTTGCTTCATGCTTCAAGATCACAAAACGGGAAGTGAAATTCCTGAGCTTCTCTGTGTGGTTCACAGCAGTCAAGGGTTTTTCACTGAAATCATGAATCGTTAGGCAAATACATATGCATATATATATTATATATACTGAGTGATTCATTTATAAAACATTTCTTTCCATAAAAGACATGAGGGAGATTTAAACAAACTATACACAGACAAGGTTTGTTAATTAGGATTGGAAAATCTGGAGAAAGAACCTAAAAGAGGAAAAGAAGACACTAAGAGGAAGATTTAGCATAGTATTTTCCTGTCCTAACTTCAGAGAAATACCCTGGCATTTTGGATAGTGTGGCTTTTGGAGAAAGCCAAAACTCATATCCACCTCTTATCGTGTGTTCTCCAGCTTCCCTCCTCTGAGAGTCTAGTCAACTCAAATGTAAAAGGAGGGTAGATTATTACTTTGTAAAACTGTTGTAAGCATTAAAAATAATACATGTTCAATATAAGGGACATTGTTTTTATAGGAAAGTAGTCCTCTAGGAATTTATGAGGGGGCCACAGGTAGAAACACTGAGTGGTCTTCTCAATAATACCATTTTAGCAATTGCTGTTGTCCAACCTGTGAGACCACAGGGGGACTGCGGGTGTAATGCAGTTTCTTTCTGACTCAGCCTCTGCCCACAAGATCGTCATAACCCCAGCTTCCTTCTGGACTCTCTCACCTGTCTAGAAAACACCAGCAGGTTCCTGGAAGGCCTTCTGTGAACTCACAGGAGTCCTCACAAGAATGACTGAGAGGTCCATGAGAGTAGAGAGTACATCTGTTCACCCTTTGCTTCCCCAGCCCTGAGCTCCATGGAGTGCACACAGCAGACAAAATACACCTGCTTATTTGAAGAATTGATGGGGCGAGTGAAGAATCATCTCCACAGGGGATGTTGTTCTCCATTTTTCCCAGTCAAGGCCCTCAAGTCCCAGACCACAGTTCTTTGTTGCCATGGAGTTTCTGAGATCTAGACTTTCACATCAGCCCCCTGTTTCTCTTTTGTCTGCATGGATATTCTCAACCACTTCCTCTACTTGGTTCCTTAACTCCAAGTGTTCCCAAAGACTTTGCAGAAGGGGAGAAGAGGACTTCTCTAATAATAATTATTCTTAATTGCTACTTTAAGGTCCCATTCTACTGCTTTAAGTGTGATATCTAATTTAAATTCCCACACCATGCCTATGAGATGGGCACTAGTAATATCAGCATTATTACCCATTGGAAAATGAAGGCTCTGAGACCATAGGTAACCTATCCCAAGTCCCACAGGTAGAAAATGGCAGAGCTTGGCTTTAAACGCAGTCTCTTCAAAAAGACCTCTCACTCATTCTTACAAGGACTCTTGTGAGTTCATATAAGACCCTCCAGGAACCTGCTGGTGATTTCCAGATAAGTTATGGAGTCCAGAAGGAAGGTGGTGTTCTGACAATCCCGTGGGTGGAGAGGCAGAGTCAGAAAGAAACTCCCTAATTACTATCAGTACTCCTGTGGTTCCCCTGGTTGACCAGGGCCCAACCCCAGAATCCAGATATGAAAATCAAACCAAAAGATGTGTTTGGCTGAAAGATGAGCTGTGTAAGAGACACAAGGCAGTACTCGAAATCAACCATTTCCTCCAACAATGATGGACTAAGCCTCTCTCACTTTAACTCTTTTCTGATGGAGTAAATTCTTTTCCATGAGGCTCCCAGGACTTCCATGCAAATACGTCTATTCAAATGGCCTTCCAGATAGGCTCAGCTGCTTCTGTATTTATAGCGATTACCCACCAACCTGCACTCAGAGATCCTTTCTGCCAAATGATTTTAAATAAGGCTGCTCCTTTCAATGCCTTTATCAAATGGCAGGGATGCATCATTGGAAGTCAACACAATAAGGAGGTTAGGTGATAGTCTGTGTACATCAACTTTAGCAATGCACCTTGGTACAGGATTTAAGTTGCACTGTCTGGAGAATGAGCACCAAAGCATGCCCCTTGGACTGGATTTCCCACTGGCACCATTGTTCTCACTTCTTTTAGAGGGACAAAATGAGAGAACCCGCATAACTGAGATTTGGACTTCGAATTTTAGCCTCGTACTTAGAATGCTAATCATCTATTTTGCTAATTGAAGAAGAATACAAATGCTTTGAAAATCAGGAGTGGCTGAAAAATTTGACTTTCGTTTTCTTCCCATGGAATATTCTAGCCATCGTTGCTAAATATAGGGGAAACAGGTTCTTAGAAATCCTAGATGGACTTCTTTACGTGGGTACTAGTCTAGCCGGTGCACATAGTGGATTTGGGTTTGACTCCTAGTCCTGCCACACCTTCACAATATAATTTTGGACACGTTTCTTAATCTCTCTAATTTCACTTTGTTTTCTTGAATAGGAAGAGTAAGTTTCTCCTATACTACAGGTCTAATGTAAAGATAAAATAGAGAATGGGAGAAAGAGCATAGTTCTAGATTTATCGGCTTTATGGGGCTGCCTTAAAAGTGAGAAAGATCCCAAGCTCAGTATGAAGTTGACACAGAAACCTGGAATCCTGAAAGCCTCAAAGGCAGGAGGGCTCACACCCATAGTCAAACTTAGGGATTCAATTCTCCAGGAGGGAGAACAGAAAGAGGGTCCCAGCTCTGAAATACACACTGAATTACCAGACGCTGCTGCTAGGATTTAAAAAGAGGCAAAAGCCAGACCCTGTTCATTTATAATGGAGCATTATCCTGATGCCGTGGACAGTGAACTGCCTGGGAGGGTAGAAACCGGGAGTGGTCCAGACTCTCTATTTACTTGGCTCATGGGCAAGACATTCAAGTGCTCTGAGGCTCAGATTTCAACACATAAAACAGGAATAATACTACCTTCTTGGCAGACCTCATGGGGCTATAATAATAATGCTGTAATAACAACAAAAGAGTGATCTTCAATTGAACAATCATTCTGTGCAAGGGCCTTATATTTACTATCATGTTTACTTTGTCATGTCAATGAGTTAGGAAAATACTAATTATTCCCAAGTAAGTTATAACAAAAAGAGATGAGGAGACTGACCTTTGGAGTCAGTCTATAATGTGTCCCTGGTAACATGTTAATGAATGGCAGCTCTGAGGTTAGGATGTAAGTCCACTTCACTCCGTAGCCAGGACTTTTAAACCCCGTTAAGAGCACCCTCTTCCTGCAAAAAATGCATAAAACCTCCTATCTCACCATCATAATTTTGATTGATATGGAACAAAGAGAATTAGTATTATTATTTTTACCTATTGATATTACTATTATGGCCATAAGAGCCTGGGGAAAAATAAATCAAAGATACACAAGTGGAAAGATTTTTAACAATGAACAAATCGGGCCGACCAGATGATGCTCTTCCTGTAAATAACATGTGCAGGCTGCTACGTCATGTCTCTTGTCAGTCTGACTTCCTGATGGAAATCACAGACCTGCAACTGAACACAGAAGCTATGGGGGAAATTCCAAGAGCTGAGGACTTTTCAGTGGCTGGAATAAGATCGCACACTCTGGGTTCCGTTATGGAGCTCAATGAGTTTTTCAACTCGTAGTGAAGCCTGTGGAATCAGTGGATGGTCAAAAGGAGCCAAACATACTGAGCATCATGTGCACTTATCTGATTGTTGCCGCTACCCTGTGAGTTAGGTACCAGTCTCCTCATTTTAACAAAGAGGAAATGGATGCCCAGAGAGGATGAGTAACTTGTTCAAAGTCACACAGCTTCTATGTATTAATCACAACTATAACCAATATTTACTAAGCTTTTGGTACATGCCTGGGACTATTCTAATCTGTATCTGAATCAATTTCATTTAATTGTTAAAATTAAATGGGCAAGTATTAGTAGCTCTGTCATTCCTCAGATGAAGAAACTGAGGTGCAAAAGTGAATTGTCCAATTGAAAGGAGGAGAACTAGGATGTGAACCCAAGTTAGCCTGATTCCCAGGGCTGCATTTTTTCTATCGTGTAACAACTATTCTTTCAGGGGTATTCAGAGGACGGGCTGGAGAATAATTTAGACAAGGTCAGTACCTCCCACACCATCTAGAAATGGAAAGTTTATAAGACAGTGTCTGCTACTCTCCTTGATTTCTACAGAAATAGAGATGATACCTCCCTGCGACAGTGCTAAGTGACAATTCTGACTGTAAATGTGCTTTTTGGCACAAATTGTCCTGTCCTAATAGTCTTGATTATAATTATAAAATAATGGGTTTCTGAAAGGCTGCAAGCAGTTCTGGGAATGGCAATAAGGGTTTAGAAATGACATGTTGTTTACGTGAGGAGTGTTTTGTTGAAAATTAAACCCACGTTTAGGAGAAAGGAGTGTGTTGTATGCTCTTAAGAAACTATCTCGCTATGTAATTAAATCA